TGTTCCGCAAGACAAATTTCTGTACTCCAACAAGTTTCTAAAACAAACATGAGGATGTATCAATTGGCCGTGTTCCTTAATCCAAACATCAAATGGTTCGACAGCAGTGATTGATTTATAATAATTGGCTACATTTAATCCAAAGTAGATAGGATAATTTCTGTCCATCAAATTAGTAGTGTTGTTGATTGAAAATTCCTCTGTGGCATGAAAATTAAAATCAGTCATCGAGGCGAAAATTTGTACGGAGTAGTAATAGGCGACAATAATAAAACAGAGGAACATGATTTTTTCGGTTGTTTTTCGAGGTTGTTGTGGTATTGTCACGCCGAACATGATTTGAACAATTGTCAGCTTGCTCCAAATTATTCTATCGAATTTGAACAGGTATTCGATAATCCAACTCGTTAGGATCACTAAAATAATTAAGAGTATAGCAGGGTAAAAAGTGTTTCCTATCAGAATTGAAGTGGATATTAATTTTTGAGTAGGCACACTGACAATAACATGATCGAAATATAAAAATACATTTTCATTAACTTCGTTTTTGCAGAATTTACCAAAAGGTATGGAATTAACACCGTAAACATCCAGACGATTATAGAGCAATTCCTTTATTATTCCCGCCGATTCTTTTCGGTTACAAGAAAACTTTTCGGATTCAAATTCAGCATATAGCATCGAAATTGTAAAATTCAGTACCATTGACAAAACATTCAGTATTGCAGCATCTGATCCGTAAATTTTAATTGCGTGCTTTGTGGAATTTTCGATTACCTGCATATATGGCATTATGTTCTTAACACCTACTTTAAGTGGATGTCCATTTAGATTTCGAAGTTTGTCCGGAAATAATGATGTCTTTTTGGAAAACGGTTTCATTCGGTAAGTGGCGAACTGGTTCGATTGATTATTTTTCGACTTCCTCTGGTTTTTACTTTCACTGGAGTCAACAAAATTAGCGTTAGAATCTTTTGCTCTCAATTGGGTTTTACCTTTGCTAAAGCCAAAAGGATTCAGTTGATGTATCATCGTTTTTCGTCCAAAGTCATCAAGAATAGTGACGTCTAGAAATTGATCCTTCCAGAGATTTTGCAAGAAAATTTCATGATCTGATGTTGTACCTTTTTCTGCCTTTAATTCTTCTTTTTGGTTACATGTCCGAAAACGGAGAATCAGACATTTTGGTCTTATCCGAACGGTTGAGATCTGCTTCACAAACTTCATTGCTTCTTCTAACCATTCATAATTTTTATCGTTTGGTAAAAACTCGAGAATTAGGAACAATGTCGAATCTCTTGGATTCGTCAATTTTCTGCTTCTTTCCAGTTGTTGCCTTCCTTCCTTTAAATAAGTGCTATTAAAGAACACGATTGGGAAATTCGCTCGAAAATTTTGAATTATTTTCCTAGCCTGATTTTCATTTTCATTTCTCACTATCAGCATTATCTGGTAGAAATTCTCGAGTTCTTTTTTCATTTCCAGGAAAACTTCGTTAAACACTTTGGGTCGTTTCTCGAGGAAAAAATAACGATAATCGAAGTTTTTTCTAATTGCTGTTCCATTTTCCAGGTAACTTTGCGTTTCATTAGTTTCTCCATTTTCAAAATGTTTTGATGTATTTAGTTTTAGATAAACTTGTTCATTGTGAATATTTTTCAACACTGCAGCAACGATTATGAGTAAATATATGAATCGTAACATTATCAGTTTCATTTTTTCCGTTTGATAAAAATGCAGAGATAAAAGTTGAGTCTGAACTAAAGAAAAACTTAAGTAGACTACTAATTTTTAATTTAAACGATTATTATTTATGACTAATTTTTAATTTTTGATTTAATTTTGAAACTGAATTTTGAATGTTTGTAACTAAATCTTTGATCAGTCAAAAACTTTGCAGCAAGTTTTAGTTTCTTTTCTTTACATAAAATTTAAAAAAAAGTGTCATTACTTTCTTACTTGCATTTTGGAAATGGTTTTTTTTTCTAACGTTCTGTTGTGACATTGTTTTGTTTCCTAGCAACAAAGAAATGAAAACTATCAATTTCCCTTGATTACTTTTATCAAATTTAAAGATCTTGTAATTAGAAATATGGAATTCTTTTACTAACATACTTTATGTAATAAAATATAGAGTTCAAGGTATAGAAAAATTTTCAAAAAAAATAGTTGGTAGCGAAATTGTATGTTGCCAACATTTACGTGCTACTGGGGTGGAGGAAGAAAAATTCTCTACTTGTAATATTTTGCAAACAATAATTCTCCGAAAAATGTGATAATCGAGCTTATAAATCCAATCAGCATTATTCCAACAAGAACAAAGTACTTTTCCCACTTTTCAGAATCGTCTTCTTCTGCTAACACAGTTTCTCGACGATAATTGTCATCAATGTCACGGAATTTGTATCCCTTAATCAAACCATACTGCACTGCTGATCCATAAATTTCTTGAAATTTCTCAACAAACGGAGAATTTGGACTCATCAAAAATGCAACTAGTGTTGTTATTAGATATTCAGGGAGAAATTTAATTACTTTTTGCTTCTTGTAGGGTAGAGTAATCCATTCAGTAACAGCCAATTTTGCTGCGCACGATAAATTTCTATCCTGCAACAAATTTCTAAAACAAACATGAGAATGTAGCACTTGACCATGTTCCTTAATCCAAACATCAAAAGGTTCGACAGCAGTGATAGATCTATAGTAATCAGCTACATTTGTTCCCAAGTAGATGGAATAATTCCTATTCATCAAATCAGTACTGTTGTTGATTGGAAATTCTTCTGCAGCATAAAAATTAAAATCAGTCATCGAGGCGAAAATTTGTACCGAGTAGTAATAGGCGACAATAATAAAACAGAGGAACATGATTCTTTTGGTTGTTTTTCGAGGTTGTTGTGGAACCGTCACTCCGAACATAATTTGAACAATTGTTAGCTTGTTCCAAATTATTGTGTCGAATTTGAACAAGTACTCGATTATCCAACTCGTGAGGATCACTAAAATAATCAACAGTATAGCAGAATAAAAAGTTTTGCCCACCAAAACTGAGGTGGATGTTGATTTTGAAATCGGTACACTCACAATAACATGATCGAAATATAAAAATACATTTTCATTAACTTCGTTTTTGCAAAATTTACTAAAAGGTATGGAATTAATGCCGAGAACATCAAGACGATTGAAGAGCACATCCTTCATTACTCCCTCCGCTTCATTTCGGTTACAAGAAAACTTTCTGCTTTCAATGTTGAAATAGGTCATCGAAATTTTGAAATTAAGTACCATTGATAAAACTTTTATTATTGCAGCATCTGATCCGTAAATTTTAATTGCGTGCTTTGTGGAATTTTTGATTACCTGCATATATGGCATTATGGACGTAACACCAACTCTTAGTCGATGTCCATTTAGATTTCGAAGTTTGTCCGGAAATAATGATATTTTTTTGGAAAATGGTTTCGTTCGGTAAGTAGCGAACTGGTTAGTTTGATAACTTTTCGATTTGTTCTGGTTTTTACTTTCACTGGTATAAAAAAAATTCTTGTTAGAAGCTTTTGCTCTCAATTTGTTTTTACCTTTGCTAAAGCCAAAAGAATTTAGTTGATGTATCATCGTTTTTTGTTTAAAGTCTTCAAGAATAGTGACGTCTAGAAAGAGATCCTTCCAGAGATTTTGCAAGAAAATTGCATAATCTGGCGTTGTACCTTTTTCTGCTTTTAATCCTTCTTCTTGGTTAAAATTCCGAATACGTAGGATCAGACATTTGGGTCTTATCCGAACAGTTGAGATCCTTTTCACAAACGTCATTGCTTCTTCTAACCAATCGTAATTTTTATCGTTTGGTAAAAATTCGAGAATTAGGAACAATGTCGAGTCTCTTGGATTCGTCAATGTTTTGCTACTTTTTAGTTGATGATTTCCTTCCCGTAAATAAGTGCCATTTAAGAACACAATTGGGTAATTCGCTCGAAAATTTTGAATTATTTTCCCAGCTTGATTTTCATTTTCATTCCTTACTATCATCATTATCTGGTAATAACTCTCGAGTTCCGTTTTCATTCCCAAAAAAGCTTCTTTAAACACATTGGATCTTTTATCCAGAAAAAAAGAACGATACTCGAATCTTTCCCTATTGACAAATTTTTCTCCAATAGTTCCATTTTCCCGGGAACTCTGCATTTCATCATCTTCTCCACTTTGAAGCAGTTTTGATTTATTTACTTGTTGATGTATTTGATTATTTTGAATATTTTTCATAACTGCAGCAACAATTATGAGGAAATATATTAATCGTAACTTTAATATCTTCATGTTTTCCGTTTGATAAGAAAGTGGAAATTTTTTTATGTTTTGTCAATATGGCGAAAATGAAATGAAACGATTACTCTTTCTTAATTATTTCGGACCATTTGTGACCGAATCTAGTACAAATTTATAGAAGAGAATTTTTTATATTAAAAATTTTGTTAACTGTGTTTTTTCCGCAATTTGTTCTTTTTTTAAAAAAAGAGTTAAAGAGTTATGGAAAATTTGAAGATTACTTTCCTGTGGGGAATTCACAAATAATATGTTTCTAACTTTCTGTTGTGTAAATTTGTTTCTTTGTTTCTTAGCAACAAAAAAAGTAAATATCAATTTCTCTGAAATTTATTTATCGTATTTAAAGATCTTATAAGTGAGTTCATAGAATTTGATTAGAAACATACTTTCTCTAATAATAAATAATAATTTTACTATTTATAAATGTAATTGAATTGTTTCCAAGGATTTAATAAAATTTTTTGAAATAGATATATTTACTGGGAAGTCGAATATTCATTGATTCGAGAAAGTACCTTTGATTATCAAGAATATGATTTTTCAGAAAATTTTATCAATTTTGATTTGTCGATTCTTTTTGTGGAGTATATGATAAACATTGTTTTATAATTATTGTTGACGATTATCGTTTTTATTAAATTTTTCTTTTACTATTACTTGTAACACTATCTAGTTATCTAACAACAGAATAAAAAGTGTATTTAATAATTTTTAGTTTCTATTCGATATTACTCGGAGTGACAAATACAGTTAGTCGTGAAAATTACTTTGTGTGATCACGAATCTTTTTTGTTGCATCTGAAAAAAAATTTAAGTTGATGTCAAAAAATTTTAAAAGTGAGCAAATTTTAAAAAAATCATTGTTACTGTTTTCTTTAAATTAATTAAGAAAAAAAATAATAAAAAAAAATTAACAAAAACAAATTTTGCTTCAGAAATGAAACTACAATTTTTCCTCATCACTCTCACAACATTATGGCTGAAAATAGAATCAAAAGCAACAATTTCCTTCAACGCAACCGAAGCAGACGATATAATAAAAATTTTACCCGAAGAAGAAAATTTCGACTTCGAATGTGGTGATGATTACTATACCCTAAACCTATCAAGAACAGGAATTCGAAACCTATCACCAAATAATTTCAACAATCCAAGATTTATTTATTGCCTCAATCTCGAGGGCAATGAAATTCGTAATCTTCCATCAACAATTTTTGATTCTCAACATTTGACCAATTTACTTCATCTCAATTTGGCGAACAATATCCTCGACATAAATCACTTGGAATTTCTCAACGGACTGAAAAATTTGACAACACTAATATTAGATGGCAATTCAAGAAATATTATTCGTTTCACGCCCTCTTTCACATTACCAAATTTAAAAAATCTCTATCTCCGAAAAAATCGTTTATACAACAGAATTTCTTATTCGAATCTTGTGACAAATTTCCCACGACTTGAAAAATTATATCTCACCAATAATGAAAATGTCTTCATCGACGATTATATTAATAATTCCTCTAATGTCAATTCATCATTGTCGCATATTTACATCGAGGGGAATAGAAATTCAAATTTTCAACAACTTCTACTGAATATTAAAACCCTGAGGCAATTGTATTTTGATGATAATTTACGAACCCAATTCTGTCTGAGTCACAGCAATGTCAATGTGATATCGATGAAAAATTGCAAACTAAGAGAACTTAATTTATGCACAACTTTTACTGTTTTGACAAATTTAACAACTTTGGATCTTTCCCACAATGAATTGACCACCGAATCCATTGAGAGGAGCCAAATTTTTTCTTTTTTGCAAAATTTATCCCTAAGTTTCAATTCAATTAACGAAATACCGAGAAATATTCCAAATCCATCGCTGAGAGTTTTGTCATTGAGTTACAATAATATATCAAAAATAGCGGCAAATGCATTTAGATTTAGTGAAAATTTGCAAATTTTGTCATTGAGGGGAAATAAAATTAGTCATCTTCACAGAAATTCCCTCTCTGGATTGAATTATTTGCACACATTGGATTTGGCGAAAAATCAATTAAACATCCTGCCGATAAATTGGTTTGGACAATTTTATTCCTTGAATTATTTGAATTTGAATTTTAATAATTTTCTCTCATTGAATGCAACTTCAGTGAAATATAATAATACGAGTTTGAAAAATTTACATTTGAGGAATAATAAATTTTGTAGTCTCACTATTCGGGAATTAAATTATTTACCATTTAATTTGACTATTCACGTTGCACCGATTGAGTAAAATTAAAGGAAAAGATTTTTTAAAAATAAATCTTAAAAAAAGATTCTATTTTTAATTTTCAGTAAATTGAAATTGTCAAAAAAAAGATTTTCAAAAATAAAGTTCGTTAAAAAGAAAATAAATAATAAATCGAAAACATTGTTATTTAGATAAAATTATTTTTAAAAATTATTAATCCCTCCTCAAAATTTTTCCCTTTTTTCAAATATACTTTAACAATCTTTGACTAAAAATTGGAAATTTTTTTTCCTTCCTTTAAAAAGGGGCAAAATTGAAAAATTTTAGTTTAGAAAAAGAAAATTTTACTAATTTAATTTAATTATATTTCAAGTTCAATCACAAAAAATCAATAATCGAAATAGAATTTTTATCGCATCTGAACATTTCATCAGTTATTTAAAAACTTATCTATGATTCATTCTTTGATACATTTTATCGAAGAAAAAGCATAAAACAATTGTTTTTAATTTTAAATTGTGTTGATTGCGTGTGACTATAGTTAAAAAAAGTCATTTTTATTCAGGAATAACGAAATGGTAAGAAATATTTTTTTTCATAATTTTTCTTTCAGATTATTTAAAAAAAAGAAAAAAAAATTCAATAAAATTAAATCAATAAGATTTTTCGTAAAATTCACTTATTTTTAAGAATTTTAATAAATTTCTTCACAAGAATTGAATTATTTTTAAAACTTTTTATATATTCTTTTACAAAAATTCAATTATTTCGAAAACACAATTTAAACACAATTTTTAATAAAATCAAAAGCATTTAATTATTTTCAAAAAATTTAATAAAATTCCTAGAAATAATTTAAATATTTTCAACAAAAGTTTATAATAAAATTTTGTCATAGGAATTCAATTATTTTTAATATAATTTTACTTTAAATTTTAATTGAAAGAATTCAATTTATTTTGCAAATCTTTTATAAAACTCTTCGTATGAATTAAATTAAATTCAAGAATTTTCAAAAAGTAATAATAAAATTCTTGGAAATAACTCAGTTATCATTAAAAATTTTGACAAAATTTGAAAAAATTTTTAAAAGAATTCAATTTTTAATAATTTTTTTTTTAATTTTTATAATTTTAATAAAATACTGGTGACAAAATTAATTAAATTACTCGAAAATGTTTCATTATTTTCAAAAATTTTTATAAAATTCTTTAAAAAAATCAAATATTTTCTCAAAAATTTTATTAAAATCCTTTACAAGAATTCAATTAGGTTCAAAAGTAATAAAAGTTTTTTGCAAGAATTTAATTATTACAAAAAATTTTAATAAAATTCTTTGCAGGAATTCAATTCTTTTTATACAATTTCAATAAATGTTAAGGTCAAAATATAATTATTTTCAACACGATTTTAATAAAATAATTTGAAGAAATTCAATTATTTTCAATTCAACTTTAAAAAAAAAATTTCGAAAAATTCAATTATTTTCAAAAATTTTAATAAAATTGCTTGCAAAAATCCAATTCTTTTAATACAATTTTAATAAATATTATCGTGAAAAATTAATTATTTTTATCACGATTTTAATAAAATAATTCAAAAAAATTCAATTATTTTTAATTTAACTTTAAAAAAATTAAAAAAAAAAAATTCAATTACTTTGAAAACAATTTAAACTAAATTACATGAATGAATTTTAGAAAAAAATTAAATAAGTACAATTCTTCAAAACAATTAAATTTTTTCCAAAGATTTTAATACAATTCTATAAAAAATTATATTGAAAATAATTTTTTTTTTTCTAGCGTATTGCACTTACTATTTTAAATTGCAATTTCTCTTTATGTTCATTTGATTTTTATTGTAATACAACACAATTTTAAATTAATTACAATTATGAAATAGAAATATGAAAATTTAATAATTTTAAAATATAATTTTTAGATGAAGAATTATCTGATAATTTTCCTGCTCATTGTTTATGTAAATTTGTCAAAATCAGAGAAGAGACAACAAATTACTTTTAATATAAATGAACTAGACGATATTGTAAATGTTCTACCAACAGAAGAAAATGAAGAAGAAGAATTAGAAAAAATTTGTGGAAATAAAACTATCGACATGTCTCAAACTGGAATTCGTAATTTAAAAACAAGAACTTTTGAAAATATTCCAAATATTCAGTGTCTTAATCTCGAAGGAAACGAAATTAAAAATATATCAGAAGAAGTGTTTCATTCTCAAAATTTCGAAAATTTAATCTACTTAAATTTATCAACCAATTCACTGGACGTAAATAATTTAGATTTTATAAATAATCACAAAAATTTGAAAACTCTAGTTCTTGACACTAGTTCTGGCAATAATAATAATAATAATAATAATAATAATAATAATAATAATAATAATAATAATAATAAAATTTTTAAACCAAAATTTTCTCTGAAGAATTTAGAAAATCTCTATTTACGAAATAATAATTTATCTGAAATAAATTCTTTAGATTCTCTTTTATCATCAAATTCGCGACTTAGAAAATTATTTCTCACTAACAATAAAATATTTAATTTCAATAATTATGGTAATGTAATTAATTCCGCGTTAAAATATATACACGTGGAAAACAATGATCTCCAAAGTTTAGCAACATTAATAAAACTCAATAGTCTTACACATTTATATTTTGAAAATGGTTACGGACAGAATAAAATTTGTCTTTTTCGTAATGAATACAGTAATCTTCGTGTATTATCACTAAAAAATTGTTATTTAACGGATTTGGAATCTTGTTCTTTTTTCTTTACTTCAAAACCATTTAAATTTTTAACAACATTAGATCTCTCTCATAATCAGCTAAATGCAAAATCAATAAAAAATAATCTTCTACCATCATTACAAAATTTATCATTAAGTCACAATCCACTTTCTTCAGTGCCAGAAAATCTTGCTACGTTACCAAATTTAAAAGTACTTTCCCTAAGTTACTGTAACATTTCGAAAATAACTTCCGATACTTTCAAAAAATTTACACGTTTAGAAATTTTATCACTCAGGGGAAATAAAATTAGTAACTTTGATAATTATTCATTCTCATCAATGACTTATTTACGAATTTTAGATTTAGCTGAAAATCAACTTCGCACTCTACCACAATATTGGTCTTTTAATTTGAATAATTTGCGATATTTAAATTTAAATTCGAATTATTTTCTATCAGTGAATGCTCTTAATTTGGAAAAAAATTCACTACTGGAAGATTTACATTTAAGAAATAATAATATAATTAGTTTAATGATTGTACCATTCAACTTATCATCTGAATTGACTATTCACGTTGGACCGATTTTGTAATATAGAATTTCAGTGAGGAATTAATAATTTATAAAAATTATAAAAACAATTATTATAACAATTATCAATTATCAATTTCATTTACATATTGTTTTATTTTCATTAAACTATATAAATTTTCAAATTGTATTTTGTAGCTGAAAGCGATTATTATTAAAGATTTCAAATTTTTTCAGCATTTATATAAGAATGTGAGAAATTCTTCTAAAAAAAATTGAGATTTTTAAAAATAAAATTTGTCAAAAAGGAAAAAAATAAAAAAAAAATAATTTACATATTTATTATAAAAAATTATTACTCCCACCTCAAACATTTTCCCTTTTTTTTCAAATATAATTTAATAATCTTTGACATTTTTTTTTCTTAAGAGAGAGAGAGAGAGAGAGAGAGAGAGAGAGAGAGAGAGAGCAAAATTGTAAGTTTTAGAAAAATTTAAAAAGAAAATTAGAAAATTTTAACATTCCAATTTAATTTTTATATTTCAAGTTTAATTACAAAAAATAAATAATCGAAATAGAATTTTTATCGCATCTGGACTTTTTTTTATCAGTTACTTAAAAACTTATCTATGATTCATTCTTTGATACATTTTATCTAATAAAAAGCATAAAACAATTGTTTTTAATTTCAAATTGTGTCTATTGTGTGCGATTATAGTTAAAATGGTAAGAAATATTTTTTCTCATAATTTGCTTTCAGATTTTTAAGTCCAAAAAAAATTGTTTTCCAACAAATTTCTTCGTAAGATTTCAATTATTTTCATAAATAATAATTCTTCGCAGGAATTCAGATTATTTTTTATACACATTTAATTCAATGATTACTTGAAAAAATTCAATTATTTTCAAAAATAATAATAATTCTTCGCAGGAATTCAATTATTTTTGAAAATATTTTAATTTAATTATTATTTTTAAGAATTTTAATAAATCTCTTCACAAGAATTCAATTATTTTCCAAAACTTTTTATGAATTCTTTTATTGAAATTAAATTCTTTCCAATAAACACAATTTTTAATAAAATTAATCGAAAGCATCTAATTATTTTTAAAAAATTTAATAAAATTCCTAGAAATAATTTAAATATTTTCAACAAAAGTTTATAATAAAATTTTGTCATAGGAATTCAATTATTTTTAATATAATTTTACTTCAAATTTTAATGGAAAGAATTCATTTTTATTTATAAAGTTTTCATAAAATTCTTCTAAAGAATTAAATTCAATTCGAAAATTTTGAAAAAGTTTTAAAAAAAATTTTTCGAATTATAATTTTTTGATCATCTTCTATGAAAGAATTCGATTTTTTTCAAAATTTTATTAAAAATTCTGGTCACAAATTTAATTAAATTACTCAAAAATGTTTAATTATTTTCAAATTTTTTTTTAAAATTCTTTTAAAAAATCAATTATTTTCAAAAAATTCCATTAAAATCTTTAACAAGAATTCAATTAGGTTCAAAAGTAATAAAAGTTCTTTGCAAGAATTGAATTACTATTAAAAGTTTTGATAAAATTCTTTGAGATAATATAAAAATTTTCAAAAAATTAATAAAATTTTTCATAACTTTTCAATTATTTTTAAGAATTTTAATAAAATTAAAATCGAAAGAATACGTTTACATTCAATTAAATTTTATAATAAAATTTCATGAATGAATTCAACAATTTTTTAAAATTTTAATAAAATAATAATAATAATAATAATAATAATAATAATAATAATAATAATAATAATAATAATAATAATAATAATAAATAATAAATAATAATTAAATAATTCAAAAGAATTGAATTATTTTTAATTCAATTTTAAAAAAATTTTTCGAAAAAATCCAATTTTTTTCAAAAATTTTAATAAAATTCTTCGCAGAAATTCAAATCTTTTCAACACGATTTTAATAAAATAATTCAAATTCATTCAATATTATTCAGTTTTAATAAAATTTTTCGAAACAATTCAAATCTTTTCAATTATTTTAATAAAATTTTTTGCTGACATTTAATTCTTTTAATACACTTTTAATAAATATGTTATCGTGAAAATTCAATTATATTTTCAAAACGATTTTTATAAAGTAATTTAAAAAAATTTAATAATTTTCAAATCAATTTTAAATAAATTTTTCAAAAATATTTCATTATTTTCAATTCAATTTTAAACATATTTTCGAAACATTTCAATTTTTTTTTTTTATTATTTTTTATGTTTTTACAATAAACATATTGTAATAAAAGACAATTTTAAATTAATTGTAATTGTGAAATTAAAATATAAAAATTCAATAATTTTAAAATATAATTTTTAGATGAAGAATTATCTGCTAATTTTGCTGCTCATTGCTTATGTAAATTTGGCAAAATCAGAGAAGGGGGAGAAAATTTCTTTGAATCCAAATGAGCCAGACGATATTGTAAATGTTCTGCCAGCAGAAGAAACTGAAGAAGAAGAATTTGAAAAGCTTTGCGGGAAAAAAACTATCGACATGTCTCAAATGGGAATTCGTAATTTAAGAAGAAAAAATTTTGAAAATTTTCAAAATATTCAGTGCCTTAATCTTGCAGGAAACGAAATTAGTAATATATCAAAGGAAGTGTTTCATTCTCAAAATTTCGAAAATTTACTCTACCTAAATTTATCAAGAAATTCACTGGACATAAATAAATTAGATTTTATAAATAATCACAAAAATTTAAAGACTCTAGTACTCGACACTAATTCCGGCAACAATAATGATAAAAAAATTTTAAAACCAAAATTTTTTCTCGAGAATTTAGAAAATCTTTATCTACGAAATAATAATTTAACTGAAATAAATTCTTGGAGGAAACTTTTATCCGAAAATCTGAGACTTAAAAAATTATTTCTCTCTGATAATAAAATAAAACATAGTGATTATTCTATATATAATTCTGCTTTAGAATATGTACAGATGGAAAAAAATAATCTTTATAGTTTTGTAACAGTAATAAATCTCAGTAACCTCACACATTTATATTTTGAGAATGGTTACGGACCGAATGAAATTTGTCTTTTTTCTAATGAAAATAGCAAACTTCGTGTATTATCATTGAAAAATTGTAATTTATATGATTTAGGCTCAGTTTGTCTTCTTACATATCCTTTAAAATTTTTAACAACACTAGATGTTTCTCATAATAAATTAAATAGATTATCATTAACATATGATCTACTACCATCATTAAAAAATCTGTCATTAAGTCACAATCCACTTTATTCAGTACCTGAAAATCTTGCTAAATTTCCAGATTTAAAAGTACTTTCCCTAAGTTATTGTAACATTAGCGAAATAACTTCCGATACTTTCGAAAAATTTACAAATTTACAAATTTTATCACTCAGGGGAAATAAAATCACTAAGCTCGACTTTACCTTAAATTTACCAAATTTACGAATTTTGGATTTAGCTGAAAATCAACTGCAAATTCTGCCAATAAATTGGTTTGCTAATTTGAATAGTTTACGATATTTAAATTTAAATTCTAATTCTTTTTCATCAATGGATGCACTTAATTTAGAAAACCAGTTGGAATTGAAAAATTTGGAAGATTTACATTTAAGAAACAATAATATAATGAGTATAAGGATTGTACCACTAAACTTATCATCTGAATTGACTATTCACGTTGGGCCGATTTTTTAATATGGATTTTCTGAATAAAAAATATTTTTTAACAATAGAATAAAGATTGTATTTTTTTAATGCGTACAATTTGTAAAAGTGTATTTTAAGAATTTTTCTTTTTGAGGGGGAATTATTTTTTAACGTATCATCTTATGATTGGGAAAGAGAAGGAATTTTTTTTGGAAATTATTATTTTGTTTAGATTTTAGTTCTAAATTTATAATACAGAGAATAGTGAATTATTCAGATTGGTAAATATTGTAAAATGTCAATATTGAATTAAAATGAACTGCGTATATTTTTAACTGAGTTTCAATAAAAATTGTTTCGAAATTATAAAAACTTATCAATTTCATTTACACATTCCTTTCTTTTGTTAAACTATATAAATTAGGAAAAATTTTCAAAATTGTGTTCTGTAATTAAAAGCGATTATTACTGAAGATTTCAAATTTGTTCAGCATTCTTGTATAAGAAGGTAAGAAATTCTTGTTAGAAATAAAAATTTTAATGAGAATTATAATAACAATTTTAATAATAATTTACAATTTATAAATTTTTTCTAAACAATATCAATTTTAATAACAATTTATTTTTATAATTTTTTTTCTTTAAATATCAATTTTAATAAGGATTGTAATAAAAATTTATTTAGTAAAAGTTGTGTTACAAAATAATTAAAAATAACAATTTAAATAAACATTTTAACAACAATTTCAATATCAAGTTTATTAAAAAATTATTTATAAAACTTTTGTTAAAAGCAACAATTTCAATAATAATTTTAATATCGATTTCAGTAAAAATTTAAAAATATATTTTAATAACAATCTTAACCATAATTAAATGAAAATTTTAATAACATTTATTCTATAAAATTTTTATTGAAAATAACAATTTTGTTACCAATTATAATAACCATTTTGTATAATAATTTAACAACAATTTCAATAAAAATGTTAATAACAATTTAATTCTATAAAAATTTTTTTGAACATAACAATTTTAATATCAATTTTAACAACAATTTCAATAACAAACTTAATAACATTTTATTTTATAAAATTTTTGTTAAAAGTTAAAATTTTGTTAAAATATTTGTTGAAAATAACAATTTTAATACAAATTTTAACAACAATTTCAATATCAAGTATATTAACAAATTATGTTATAAAATTTTTTGTTGAAAATAACAATTTCAATAACAATTTAAATGTCAATTTTAATAAAAATATTAAAATCTATTTTAATAACAATCTTTATCATAATTTCAATAAAAAAGTTACGATATATTCTAAAAATTTTTTGTTAAAAATAACAATTTTGTTACCAATTAAAATAACCATTTTTTATAATAATTAAGTAAAATTTTAATATCAATTATAAAAAAATTTCAATTATAATTTCAATAACAGAGTTGATAACATTTTGTTTTATAAAATTTTTGTTAAAAATAACAATTTTAGTAACAACAGTAATAATACTTTTAATAACAATTTCAATAATAATTTTTTTCTGAAATATTTGTTAAAAATAACCATTTCAATAACAATTTAAATATCAATTTTAATAAAAATTTTAAACATCAATTTTAATAACAATCTTATACACATTATTTTAATAAAAATATTGGTAACAATTTATTCTATAAAAATTTTTGTTAAAACTAACAATTTTGTTACCAATGATAATAACTATTTTATATAATAATTAAATAACAATTTTAATATCAATTTTAAAAACTATTTCAATAAAAATGATAATAACAATTTATTCTAAATTTTTTTGAAAATAATAATTTTAATGTTAATTGTAAAAACAATTTTAATCAGAATTTCAATAACAGAGTTATTAACATTTTATTTTATAAAATTGTTCCTAAAAATGACGACTTGAATATAAATTTTAACAACAATTTCAATACCAAACTTAATAACATTTTATTTTGTAAAATTTTTGTTAAAAATAAAAATTTTAATAAAATTTTAACGACAATTTCAATGTCAATTAATATTTTTTAATTAAAATGTTAATAAAATTTATTCTATAAAATTTTTGTTAAAAATAACATTTTTTTTCCCATTTATAATAACCATTTTGTATATAATACTTTAATAACAATTTCAATAAAAATGTTGATAACAATTTATTCTATAAATATTTTGTTGAAAATAACAATTTTAATCTTAATTTTAACAACAGTTCCAATCACGATTTCAATAACAAACGTAATAACATTTTATTTTATAAAATTTTTGTCAAAAATGACAATTTGAAAAAAATTTCAATTACAATTACAATAAAAATTTTTTTTATAAAAGTTTAACTTAAAATAACAATATTAATTACTTTAAAAACAATTTCAATAACAATTGTAATAACAATTTATTCTATAAAATTTATGTTAAAAATAACAATTGTAATAACAATTTATTCTATAAAATTTGTGTTAAAAATAACAATTGTAATAACAATTTATTCTATAAAATTTGTGTTAAAAATAACAATTGCAATAACAATTTATTCTATAAAATTTGTGTTAAAAATAACAATTTTTAACAACAATTTTAATCACAATTTCAAGAAAAATGTGGATAACAATTTAATTTTTTAAATTTTTATTAAAAATAACAATTTGAAAAAATTTATTAACAATTTATTATAGATGAAGGAAAATAAACGAAAGTATTCGGACAATTAATTTTGAAAAATTGGTTTACTCCAAAGTTTATTTTCCATCATTAATAATTATTATTTCTCGAACATAAAAGATTGATTAATAACAATTTATTTTATAAAAGTTTTGTTAAAAATAAACAATTTTTATTAACTTTAATAAAAATAAAAATTTTAATAAGAATTACAATAACAATTACAATAACAATTTATTTTATAAAAAAAATATTTTTTCTAGAATAAATGGCGATGAGGACAATTCTTTGGTGTTTGCTAATAAAAATTTTCATCATTAACGGATCGTCAGCGAATGATTGTTTACTCAAGAATAATGAACTAAATAATCATGAAACTGCGAACGAAGAATTTCAACTCTGCAAAGATGAGCAAATAGTTTTAAATTTTTCCAAAACTACCATAACTAAACTCGAAGAAAATTTTCTCACAAATACATTACTTTCATGTTTGAAAATTAATAACAAAGGCATAACAAAAGTATCATCCACAGCTTTTGACAAAATGCCAAATTTAACTTATTTAAATCTTGCCAACAATTCAATTGAAGAAGATGATTTGTTGATTGAAGGGAATTTACAAAATTTGAAGATACTTATTTTAGATAGTGCCTATAATTTAAATGATGGTTTTGCTAAAGAAATAACTTTACGCGGATATTACCCCTCTCTTGAAAAACTCTATCTGAGGAACAATGACATTTTATTAGTAAAATTAGAAGGACTAGTTTTTCATGAAGATAATTTTTCCAAATTAACACATTTATATTTAAATAATAATTCAATTGTACTCTTCAACAACCCCATTGCAGGTGGATATACAGCTGTAAAGTATATTAATTTAAATAATAATAATCTGCTGTCTGTGCAAGTTAATCTACCAGCACTCGAATTTCTCTCCTTTAATTACAATCAAGTTTGGAAATTGGCCTTAATAGGAACAAAAAAACTAGTCGAACTGTACGCAGCACATAATAAATTATATGAATTCACTGAAGAATCTTTACAAGAATGTGAAAAATTAAAAATTTTAGATCTAAAAAATAATGAAATTACTAAATTCAGTAGAGTAATTTTCGAAAAATGCATTTCGTTGGAATACTTGAATTTAGATAACAATGAAATTAGTGAGATTCCAGTTGTAAATTCAACTTCATATTTAAAGAGATTCTCATTACGATGGAATAGAATTAATTCTTTGCGTCCAGACACTTTTTCTCTGATGCCACATTTAATTGTACTCCGTCTAGATGGAAACAGAATTTTTAAAGTTGAAGCCAATACATTTCTAACACTCGTCAATTTACAAAGTCTCACTCTCGGTAATAATCAACTTGCAAATTTACCTGAAAATTGGTCGAAAAATTTAAGAATGCTGAAGAATTTGAATTTAGAAAATAATAAATTCAAAATGTTGGAAGATTTATCTCTGAAGCAGGAAGATGTGATTTTAAAGTTGAATCTCACTGATAATCCTCTTGAACAACTGACGCGTAATTCTTTTATGTTTATACCCGAAAATACTACAGTTTATTTGAGTTCTAATGCTAGTGGAGTCGAAAGTTGTGTAAGGAGTAATTGATATACTTTTGGATTTCTAATAATGTATCTAATACGTAGCATAACTAATATTTTATGTATGTTTCTCTAAATAATAAAATTGGTACAATATGATTTTTCAAAAAAAGAAATTTTTATTTTCAAAAACTCTTTTTATCCTTCGTTGATAGAATTACGACAAAATTTATAATTTACAGTGTTGAAAAACTCAAAAACCTTGAAAACCGTTTAAATTCTTTTTTACCTTTAAAAACTTTTCCAATAAATCGCAATGAATTTTAAAACATTACTTTAATTTTCCCTTATTTCCGTAAATAATTAAATTCTGGACAATTTTTTTTAACTTATTAACTACAATAATTAACTTAGAAAAATGTTTAGTTAAAAACAATTGCAATTTTCAAAACTAATTTAAATTTCGAAAAAAATTTAAACAAACATTTGAAAATAAAAGTATTTGGAATAGAAAATTTACTAGATTAGATAAAAATTAATAGTTAGCATTTGATTAAACCTATACAAAGTAGAAAAATAATCTTTTATCACTTTTATCACGTGTTTAAAGTGTTAAATTTAATTATCAATAAGTAACAATTTCACTATATAAAGAAAAACACATACTTTATCATATCAATTATAAATGATTATTCAGTACATATAAAAATTATCAACTTCTTCTTTCATTTATTGCTCATGAATTGAGTGATAGTTTCAATTCTTTGGTGCAACAATAAAACAAATTGTTGTTAGTTTTCGTCTTTATTATATTAGCGCAAAAAAAGAAACAAGGTGAGTTATATTTTTTCAAAAAAGGAGGAAAGTCAAGGAGGCTAAACAAATTTTGTAGCAAAAAAAATATGCATGCATACAGTAAACAATTTTTTGTTTTGTATAAACTGATGGTTTTTTTAATTTTAAGAATATTTTTACCAATAATTAGAACTAATGTAAAAAATCTTTTTTTAGAAGAAAAAACGATGAAGACAATTCTTTGGTGTTTGATAATAAAAATTTTGATTATTAACGGATCGTCAGTGGAGGATTTTTTCTTCAAGAATAATGAACAAAATTATGAAACTTCGAATGAAGAATTCCAACTTTGTAAAGATCAGCAACTATCTTTAAATTTTTCCAACGCAGTCGTAACAAAAATTTCAGCAAATTTTCTCGCAAGTACATTAGTTTCTTGTTTGAAAATGAATAACAATAGCATTACAGATTTATCATCTTCAGCTTTTGATAAAATTCCAAATTTAACTTATTTAAATCTTGCCAATAATTCGATTGGAAAAGAAGAACTTTTGCTTAGAGGGAATTTTAAAAATTTGAAGATACTTATTTTAGACAATGCTTATTATTATCGTTGGAGTGAATTTAGATTAACTTTTGGAGGAAATTATCCCTCTCTTGTAAAGCTCTATCTGAGAAGTAATAAAATAAGATCGGTAGACATGGTCTACAAAAATAATTATGAAGGGAATTTTTCAAAATTAACACATTTATATTTAAATAATAATTCACTTTTAAATTTTTATAATGATGAGCTGTTCTCAAAGGAATTTATATCTCTAAAGTTTGTTAATTTGGACAATAATGATATGAGTTATGTTTACATTGATCTACCAGAAATCGAATTTCTCTCCTTTGATTATAATCGAGTTTCGTCATTGACCTTAAAAAGAACAAAAAAACTAGAAAAACTGTCCGCAGAACATAATCAATTATACACATTTACTAAAGAATCTTTAGAAGAATGTGAAAAATTGAAAACTTTGAACTTAAAGAACAATAGAATTTCTAAATTAAGTAAAACAATTTTAGAAAGATGCAATTCATTGGAGTATTTGAATTTAGATAACAATGAAATAAGTGAGATTCCAGAAATATATTCAACTTCATATTTAAAGAGATTTTTATTGCGATGCAATAAAATTGATTCTTTGCGTTCAGACACTTTTTCTCTGATGCCACATTTAATTGTACTTGGTCTAGATGGAAATAGTATTTTTAACATTGAAACTGATACATTTTCAACACTTGTCAATTTACAAAGTCTCACTCTTGGTAATAATGAACTTGCAAATTTACCTGAAAATTGGTCGCAAAATTTGAAAATGTTGCAGAATTTAAATTTAGAAGGAAATCAATTCAAAATGTTAGAAGATTTGTCTCTAACACAGAAAGATGTAATTTTAAACTTGAATCTCACTAATAATCCTCTTAAACAACTGACGACGAATTCTTTTATGGTAATACCCGAAAATGCTACAGTTTATTTGAATTTTAATGCTATTCGAGTTGAAAGTTGTTTAAGGAATAATTATTGATATTGATACTTTAGGATTTGTAATAATGTATTTAACACGTAGAAATACGATTTTTCAAGAAAAAAAAGTTTTACTTTTAAAAACTGTTTTTATCCTTCGCCGGTTTTCATAAGAAAATTTTTTTGTAATTACAGTAAAATTTATGATTTTCATTAATAATAGAATTTCTGTAAGGAAGTAATAATAAAGTTAATTAAAAAACTTTGTTTTTGTAGAATATTTTTTTTTTATTCTTTTCTTTTGTTAAAAATAACATTTTTAATATCAATTTTAACAAAAATTTCAATATTAATTACAGATTAACAATTAACAAAGTATTTTATTAAATTTTTGTTAAAATAATGATAATTTAAAAAAGATTTCAATACAAGAATTATAATAAAAATTTATTTTTTAAAAGGTTTGTTAAAAATTCCATTTTTTATAACTTTAATAATAATTTTACAAGTTAAAGCGGAGCGCATGCGCTGGGGAGCGAAGTGGGGACAACGAGAGGAAGAGAGAAAAACCTAAACTTCTCTCTCACTCCCATTGTTCCCCCTCTCTTCCTACTCTCACGACTTTACACAATTCTCATATCAATTTCTTTATTTGAATTTGAATTTTAATTAAAAATTACTCAAATTTATAGTAATAGTAATAATTCGGTATTCATTTTGGAAAAAATTTCTTATTATTTGATTTTCTCTTTTTTTAGACACAAAAATAATTATTTAATAGATAAAAAAATATTTCCCCATTTTTATTATTTGTTCAGTCAAATTTTTACATATGTGAAATTTTTTAAATTTTAGTGAAATGTCAACATTGACAGAAATGAAATATTAAAATTTGTCAAAATTAAAATAAAGTTATTTGTATATAGTTACATAAATTTGGCAATTTATTTTTACATTCCTTGGAATGTAAAAATTGTACTTAATTATAATAATATTATTATTGTATTATTATTATAGTATCAACTATAAATAAAGTAATTCTGCAACAATGTGGAAACAACAACAAACATTTAAAGCAATTATATTTGAGTGATAATAAAATAAGTATGTAATATTTCTTATCATTCGAATTTTTCGCTAGTATTCTCAGCCTTGAATCATTTAAATTTGGACAATAATTGTTTGGAAACTTTATTCATCAGTCTTCCTCAAGTACAATACTTGTCAATTAATAATAACAATTTAAATTCACTACTCTTGAGAGATATAAAAAAATCTCACAAACAATCGAATTTTAGATTTCCCAACGGATTTTTTGATAAATTGTGTTTTAATTTTTTAGATTTTGGTTAAAGAGAATGTCAAAGTCGAGTCAATTGCTCCATAGAAACTTCAATGGTTCAAAGTTCAAATGACTTTGACATCTTCATTATAATATTTAAAGTGGAAATTTTTATCTATAATCTTAATTACGTACTTTTTATCATTTATTTATAAAATTGTCGAAATTTTTCTGTTTCTCACATTTCTTGCCACATTGTCGATCAAATAAGCTGCAGTTGAAATTGTGTGTAAAAGTTGAACAATTGTTTTTCATTTTAAATTGTGTACAATTGGGACTATTGTTTAAGCGACAATTTTTCTCTTGGAGAAATTTTCTCTTTCTCTACTAATTACAACACTGAAAAAAAAATTTAATTGAATCAAGAAAATTTGAAATGGTTGAAGTAAATATCGGGATTGCATAGGGTCGATCCAATTATGCGATTGGCTCAAGAAAATGATTTTCTTGTCATAGTATACTTGGTTGGAGAGTATATGTTCTTGATCCAAGAAAATATGGAATTCGGTGAAGAAATTAAGTAACATGTAAGAAATGCAGAATATATTAATTCAATAGCATTTGTGTATCAAATCAAGAAAATATGTTCTCCAACCAAGAAAATATTTTCTTGATTGGAGAAAATTATAGATTTTAATCAAAAAATTATTTTCTTAATTCAAGTAAATTATTTACTTGAATCCCTCTCCCCTCTTTCCCCCATCCCATCATTTCTAATACTGAGGTCAAACATTTTTATTATTTAATTAATTAACATTTATATTTTTTTTAAATAATTAAACAATTGTTATTTCACATAATATTTACACTTAATTAATACTTATCACAAATACAACAAATATACCTTGAAAGAAAATTTTCCACGGTCGGAGGAATTGAACCCGGGTTGCACGCGTCAGAAGCCGTACCGTTATCACTATGCCATCCAAGCCTCAATGGACAGTTTTCAAAAACTGCTATTTAAGGTGCATATTAGAGCTGTGCAAAATAACTCGAACCGAACTGTTCGAATTTTTTCGCCTAGTTCGAATGTCGAAAAACCGACATTCGAACTAGCCCAGTTCGGATGTCGAATATTCGACATTCGAGTTACTACAAAATTCGAACCGAACCGAGTTGTGTTTGGTTTTAGTACGCTAAAATGTCGAATTCTAAAATTCGACATTTCAGTCGCCCAGTTCGAATGTCGAATATTCGACATCCGAACTGGGCTAGTTCGAATGTCGAAAAACCGACATTCGACATTTCGGCGCCCCAAAACCGAACTAAACTCGGTTCGGTTCGAATTTTGCACAGCTCTAGTGCATATCCATTTGAAGAGAAATATTTTCTTGGATCAAGAATACCGGCATTGTGTTAAGTAAAGAAAAGTCTCAAAGCAAATGAATAAAATGATTTGATTTAAGAAACACGAATTCTCCAGACAATACTTTACTATTTCGCTTAAGAACATAAAATTCTTGATTCAATCCTTTTTGGTACTTCGGATAAGTAAAATATTTGGTTGTAGTAATAACATATTTACTCCCACCAAATACTGAAGTATTAATTCAAGAACTCTACCCAATGCTTATAATTACTTGGTACAAGAAAATAAATTTCTCTCTTCAAATAAATATGGGATTGATTCAAATAAATTGTGTCAAGTAAATGCATTTACTTGGTTCAATTACATTTTTTTTTTCAGTGAACGAAATGGTAATAAATATTGTTTTTCTCAATATTAATTTGCTCTCTGATTTCTGAGGTTAATTAAAAATTTAAACTATAATTTTAAGTTTGTATTATAAAGAGAAACAAATAAACACCCAAAGATGATTTAAAATTTAGTAGTTAAATTCAACAATTAATTTTGGATCGTTATCATATTTCTATTAATTTACGAATGTCATTTTATATTTTCCTTTAATTTATAATTTAAAATTGAAACATGACTATTTAATTAATTTCAAACGTTGACAGAATGAATAAATGTTAGAATGAGAATACCACGATTATTATTAATAACAATTTTTCGTTTTTGTTCAAAATTTTTCTTTATCTTTAATTAAATTTTCATTGTGATAAAAAAATTAAATTAATTGCAATTAAAAAAATTCTTAAATTTTAAAACACGATTTTCAGATGAAGAGTTATCTCATTATTCTTCTAATTGTTGCTTATATAAATTTAACAAAATAATCAGAGAAATGGCAAAAAATTTCTTTGAATCCAAATGAACCAGACGATATTGTAAATGTTCTGCCAACAGAAGAAAATGAAGAAGAAGAATTAGAAAATGTTTGTGGAAATAAAACTATCGACATGTCTCAAATGGGAGTTCAACATTTAACAACAAATACATTCGAAAATATTCCAAATATCCAGTGTCTTAATCTCGCAAGAAACAATATTAGTGATATACCAGAAGAAGTGTTTCATTCTAAAAATTTCGAAAATTTAATCTACCTAAATTTATCAAGCAATCGTCTAGACGTAAATGAATTAGACTTTATAAATAATCACAAAAATTTAAAGACTCTAGTACTAGACTCTAATACTCGCAACAACGGTGATTTTCACGCGAAATTTACTTTGAAGAATTTAGAAAATCTCTATCTTAGAGAAAATTATTTAAAAGAAGTATCATATTGGGAATTACTTGTATCATTAAATTCGAGACTTAGAAAATTATTTCTGTCTGATAATCATATAGACAATTTGAATTTTCGTAATGAAACAATTTATAATTCCTCATTAGAATATATACACATGGAAAATAATAGCCTTCATAGTTTTCCAACAATAATGGCTCTGAGTAATCTCACACATTTATATTTTGAGAATGTTTACTGATCAGATGAAATTTGCCTTTCTGAAAATAAAGACACTAAACTTCGTGTATTATCATTGAAAAATTGTTATTTATATTCTTTAAGCTCAAATTGTCATTATGAACAAAAAAATTATCCTTTAAAATTTTTAACAGCGTTAGATCTTTCTCATAATGAATTTAATGTATCATCATTAACATACGATCGATTACCATCATTACAAAATTTGTCATTAAGTCACAATCGACTTCATTCAGTACCTGAAAATCTTGCTGAATTTCCAGATTTAAAAGTACTTTCCCTAAGCTACTGTGACATTACCAAAATAACTTCCGATACTTTCAAAAACTTTTCACGTTTAGAAATTTTATCGCTCAGAGGAAATCAAATCACTAAAATCGATTTTACCTTAAATTTACCAAATTTACGAATTTTGGATTTAGCCGAAAATCAACTGCACAGTCTACCAATAAATTGGTCTGCTAATTTGAATAATTTACGATATTTAAATTTAAATTCAAACTATTTTCCATCAATGGAAGCACTTAATTTAGGAAGTCAGTTGGAATTGAAAAATTTGGAAGATTTACATTTAAGAAACAATTTAATATCTAGTATAATTGTACCATTAGACTTACCATCTGAATTGACTATTCACGTTGGGCCGATTTTGTAATCTCCATTTTCTGAAAAAATGATATTTTATTACAATAAAATTAAGAAACATTGTATTTTTTTAATGCGTATAATTTGTAAAAGTTTATTTTAAGAATTTTTCTCTTCTTTTGAGGGGCAAATATTTTTTTACACATCATCTTATGATTAGAAAAGAGATGGAAAACTTTTTGGAAATTATTATCTTGTTTAGATTTCAATTCCAAATTTATATACAAAGAATTAGTGAATTATTCAGTTTGGTAAAATGTCAATTATTGTAAAATATCAATATTGAATTAATATGAAATGTACAGTTTTAACTAAATTTAAATAAAATTGTTTCGCAAATATAAAAATTTATGAATTTTATTTAAATCCCTTTATTTTTAGTAAACTATAATGATAAATAAAATAATGGTAAATTTTCAAATTATGTTTTGTAGTTAAAAGCTATTATTACTAAGAATTTAAATTTTTTTCAGCATTAATGTAAGAAGGTAAGAAATTCATGTTAAAAATAAAACAATTTTAAAAAGAATTATGATAACAATTTCAATAACAAATTTTAATAATGATTTATTTTATAAATTTTTTGTTATTAATAACAATTTTAAAATCAATTTTAACAACAATTTCAATATCAATTATATTGACATAAATTATTTTATAAAATTTGTGTTTTACTTATCTTTAATCCTTAGGAGATAACAATTTTTTTTTAAAACACGATTTTTGTTTTTTAAATAATCTTTTCAGTTAAAACTATTATGGATTTTTTATTTGAAGACAAGTATTTGGAATAGGAAATATACTGTAGATTAGGTAACAATTATTAATTAGCATTTGATTAAACATGTACAAAGTAGAAAAAGAATCTTTTATCAAAAAATAAAATTATATGTGTAATTAAATTATATGTGCTAAATTTAATTATCAAGAAGTCACCATTTTACTGTAAAAAAACATAATTTATCATATCAAATATAATGATTATTTAGTACGTATAAAAATTATCAACTTGTTTTCTCATTCATTGCTTATGAATTGAGTGACAGTTTCAAATCTTCAATTCTTTGGTGTTAGCATAAAAAAAGTGTTATTAGTTTTCTTCTTTATTATATTATCTCAAAATAGGTGAGTTACATTTTTTCAAAAAAGGAAGAATGTCAAGGAGGCTAAAAAAATTCTGTAGAAAAAAAAATGCATACCATATGGTTAAAAATGTTTTGTTTCGTTTAAAATTTAGGGTTTTTTTTTAATTTTAAGAATATTTTTACCAATAATTTAGAACTAATGTAAAATAATCTTTTTTTAGAAGAAAAAACGATGAAGACAATTCTTTGGTGTTTGATAATAAAAATTTTGATTATTAACGGATCGTCAGTGGAGGACTTTTTCTTCAAGAATAATGAACAAAATTATGAAACTTCGAATGAAGAATTCCAACTTTGTAAAGATCAGCAACTATCTTTAAATTTTTCCAATACAATTGTAACTAAAGTTGGAGAGAATTTTCTCACAAGTACATTAATTTCGTGTTTGAAAATGAATAACAATAGCATTACAGATGTATCATCTTCAGCTTTTGATAAAATTCCAAATTTAACTTATTTAAATCTTGCCAATAATTCGATTGGAAAAGAAGAACTTTTGCTTAGAGGGAATTTTAAAAATTTGAAGATACTTATTTTAGACAATGCTTATTATTATCGTTGGAGTGAATTTGGATTAACTTTTGGAGGAAATTATCCCTCTCTTGAAAAGCTCTATCTGAGAAATAATAAAATAAGATCGGTACACATGGTCTACAAAGATGATTATGAAGGGAATTTTTCAAAATTAACACATTTATATTTAAATAATAATTCACTTTTAAATTTCTATAATGATAGGATGTTCTCATATGAATTTATAGCTCTAAGGTATATTAATTTGAATAATAACAATATGGACACTGTGTATATTGATCTACCAGAAATCGAATTTCTCTCCTTTGATTATAATCGAGTTTCGTCATTGTTTTTGAAAAGAACAAGAAAACTAGAAAAACTATACGCAGCTCATAATCATCTATATACATTTTCCAAAGATTCTTTAGAACAATGCCAAAAGTTAAAAATTTTAAACTTGAAGAGCAACAGAATTTCTAAATTAAGTAAAACAATTTTAGAAAAATGCAATTCATTGGAATATTTAAATTTAGATAACAATGAAATAAGTGAGATTCCAGAAATATATTCAACTTCATATTTAAAGAGATTATCGTTACGATGCAATAGAATTGATTCATTAAATTCAACCACTTTTTCTCTGATGCCACATTTGATTGTACTTCGTCTAGATGGAAATAGAATTTTTCAAGTTGAAGCCAATACATTTTTAACACTTGTCAATTTACAAAGTCTCACTCTTGGTAATAACAGACTTGGAAATTTACCTGAAAATTGGTCGCAAAATTTGAAAATGCTACAGAATTTAAATTTAGAAAATAATGAATTCAAAATGTTGGAAGATATGTCTCTATCGTACGATGATGTAATTTTAAAGATAAACCTTACTAATAATCCAATTGAACAACTGTTAGCGTATTCTCCTGCTGCAATACCGGAAAATGCTGTAGTTTATTTGGGTCTTAAATCAACCCGAGTCGAAAGTTGTTCAAGGAATTATTGAAATTGATACTTTAGGATTTGTAGTAATGAATATAACAAGTAACATTAACTATTTTATGTATGCATTAATAATAAACTTATTAGTAAAATCTAATTAAAAAAAAAGAATCATTTTATTTTCAAAATTTCTTTTCCTCCTTCGTCATTAGAATTACAACAGAAATTCTGGTTTTTAATGGGAAAAAATATTTTTGAAAAATATACAATAAATTTAATCTTTTGAAGAATTTTATTTGGGAATTTTTAAAAATAATCGAGAGCTATATATATTCGCTACATAATTTTTTAAAAAGTCTTTTTTCAATTGATTTTTCAGAAAAAAAGTAATTAAAAATTTCTTAAATAATTTATATTTTCTAAAACTTCATAGAAAATAATTAATTTTCTTAGAGAATTTTATTAAAATGCTTGATAGCAAACGAAAGAAGTATGTTACATTAATTTTTTTTTGAAAATATTTCTTTGAAATATTAGTAAAATTTCTTAAAAATGATTAAATTTTTATAAAGAAGTAATTGAAATTCTTGAAAGTAATCGAGAAAAATTTGATACATTAATTTTTAAGAATATTTCAGCTCTCTATGATTTTAAATAATTGATTTATGATAATTAAAATTTCTGTATAAGACTCGGTAGAAAATAATTGAATTCTTAAAAGGAATTTATTGAAACTTTTGAAAATTCTTATAAAAATTATTTTTAAACAGTTCTTTATTTTCTAATATAATAATAGAATGTTTATAAACAAGTGATTAAAGTTTTTTAAAATAATTGTAATTTTCTATAATAATACAATTTTATTTACTGAAACTGTACAAAGTAATGAAAGAATTTTTTATTCCTTGCTTGCGTCTGGTGTGTTAAATTTAAATATCTGAAAGTTTTTTATAGAAAAAGCATAAATTTTTATCATATAAACATTAGTCAGTTTATAAAATTAACCAGCTTCTTCTCTCATTCATTGCCTGTGAATTGAATAGACAGTTTCAAATCTTTAACTCTACGGTGTTTATTGTAAAAAAATTGTTATTAGTTTTCTTTATTATATTCATACAAAAAGGGTGAGTTATATTTTTTCAAAAAAGTAAGCTTAAAAATGTTGTGACAATAAAATGTGCATGTATACAGTATACAATTTTTTTTAACAATTTTTTTGTATAAACTGTGGTTTTTTTAATTTTGAGATTATTTTTACCAAAAATTAGAACTAATGTAAAGTAATCTTTTTTTTAGAAGAAAAAAAGATGAAGAAAATTCTTTGGTGTTTGATAATAAAAATTTTTATCATTAACGGATCATCAGCGGAGGATTTTTTCTTCAAGAATAATGAACTAAATGATGAAACTTCGAATGAAGAATTACAACTTTGTAAAGATCAGCAACTATCATTAAATTTTGCCAACACAATTGTAACTAATGTTGGAAAGAATTTTCTCACAAGCACATTGATTTCGTGTTTGAAAATGAATAACAATGGCATTACAAAAGTATCATCTTCAGCTTTTGACAAAATTCCAAATTTAACTTATTTAAATCTTGCCAACAATTTGATTGAAGAAGATGAACTTTTGTATAACGGGAATTTTAAAAATTTGAAAATACTTGTTTTAGACAGTGCTTATTTAGGTCATAATTCTTATTACAATTATAAGGGAATAAATTTTTTTGGAAATTACCCCTCTCTTGAAAAACTCTATCTAAGAAATAATAATATTAATACGGTAAGAATTAATAATTATATTGCAAATACTTTTCTTAAATTAACACATTTATATTTAAATAATAATACAATTTCAAGCTTCAGTATTGATGTAAAGCACTCAAATGCATTTATGGCTATAAAGTATGTTAATTTGAATTATAATAATATGGACTCTGTGGAAGTTAATCTACCAGCACTCGAATTTCTCTCCTTTGATTACAATAAAGTTTCGTCATTAACCTTAAAAAGAACAAAAAAACTAGAAAAACTGTACGCAGCCCATAATCAATTATCTGAATTTTCTGAAAAATCTTTAGAACAATGTGAAAAATTGAAAATTTTAAACCTAAAGAACAACCAAATTAATGAATTCAGTAAAAAAATTTTAGAAAAATGCAATTCATTGGAATATTTGAATTTAGATAATAATAAAATAAGTAAACTTCCCGCAATTAATTCGACTTCATATTTAAAGAGATTTTTATTGCGATGCAATAAAATTGATTCTTTGCGTTCAGACACTTTTTCTCTGATGCCACATTTAATTGTACTCCGTCTAGATGGAAATAGAATTTTTAAAGTTGAAGCCAATACATTTTTAACACTTGTCAATTTACAAAGTCTCACTCTTGGTAATAATCAACTTGCAAATTTACCTGAAAATTGGTCGCAAAATTTGAAAATGTTGCAGAATTTAAATTTAGAAAATAATAAATTCAAAATGTTGGAAGATTTGTCTCTAACACATGAAGATGTAATTTTAAACTTGAATCTTACTAATAATCCTTTTAAACAATTAACGTCGAATTCTTTTATGGTAATACCAGAAAATGCTACAGTTTATTTGAATTTTAATGCAACTCGAGTCGAAAGTTGTTTAAAGAATAATTGATATACTTTAGGTTTTGTAATAATGTATGTAACACGTAGTAACTAATATTTCTGTATGTTTCTCTAAGTAATAAAATTGTTACAATACGATTTTTCAAGAAAAAAAATGTTTTACTTTTAAAAACTGTTCTCATCCTTCGCCCGTAGAATTAAAACAAAATTTCAGATTTTCTATGTTAAAAAATATTGTTTAAAAACTCAAAAACCTTGAAAACTTTTTAAATATTCTTTTCTACCTTTCAAAACTTTCCATATCGCAATGAATTTTAAAACAGTTCTTTAATTTTCTTCTATTTCCGTAAATAATTAAAATTTTAAGCAATTAAATTCTGAAAAATATTTTTTTAAAGTTATTAATTACAACAATTAACATAGAAAAAATTTTAATTTAAAAACAATTGCAATTTTCAAATACAATTGAAATTCAGAAAGTTTTAAGCAACATTTTTTAAAAATCTATAATTGAATTTCAGAAAGTTTTAAACAAATTTTTTTTTAATTAATAAATTATTATAAATAATTAAATATTTATTTTAAAAGATAATTAAAATTTCAAATAATCTTAATTAAAATTGAAATTTTTGGACATAATTTGAATATAAAATTCAATAGAAAATAATTAACAATTTAAAAGAATTTTATATTGAAATTTTTGAAAGTAGAACCAAGATAAAGAGAACCCATTAATTTATTTTAAATATTGCAGTTTCAGTTTTCAAAATTGAATTGAATTTTTATTGAAATTTTTTTTAAATTATTTTAATTTCCTAAGATTATATAAAAAATAATTTAATTTTTATAGAATTTTATTGAAATTCTTGAAAGTAATCGATGGACACTTGCCAAATTAATTTTTTTAAACAATTAATTTATGCTTTTTTTAAGATAATTGAATTTTTATAAAATATACTTATGTAATTGAAATTTTCTAAAAATAATTGAAATTTTTTAAAAATAAATAAAATTTTCAAAAATAATTGAATGTTTACTAATAAGTAATTCGAGAATTAGTTGAATTTTTGTTTGAAATAGTCAAAATTTTCTGAAATTATTCAGAAAATAATTGAATTTTTAAAAGAATTTTAATGAAAATTCTTAATAGTAATCGAGACAAGATTCCAAAATGAATTTATGAAAATATTTCAGTTTCAAATTTTCCAAAAATAATTGAATTTTCATAATCAAGATAATTGCAATTTTTCAAAGTAATTGAAATTTCCTAAAAACATATGAATTTTTAAAAAAGACTTTTTTTTTAATTTTTAAAAGTAATTGAAGGAAGTTTCAATTTTCATATTTTCAAAGATAATTAAAAAGTAATTGAATTTTCTTTAAATAATTGAAATTTCTTACGATTCTATAGAAAATTATTGAATTTTTTTTAAATAATTGAAATTTCTTACAATTCTATAGAAAATAATTGAATTTTTTTAAATAATTGAAATTTCTTACGACTCTATAGAAAATTATTTAATTTTTTTTTTAATAATTGAAATTTCTTACAATTCTATAGAAAATAATTGAATTTTTTTTAAATAATTGAAATTTCTTACGATTCTATAGAAAATAATTGAATTTTTAAAAAAATTTAATTGAAATTCCTGAAAGTTATTGAAGAAAGTTTGACAATTTATTTTTTAACAACATTTTAGTTTTATATTTTGTACTCATAATTGAATAAACAAATAATTGAAAGTATTTGAAAATAATTGAAATTTTTCAAGATGGTATAGAAAATAATTGAATTTTTTCAAGAATTTTATTGAAATACTTGGAAGTAATCGAAGAAAGTTTAACACTTTATTTTTTAAAAAATATTTAATTTCTATATTTTCTACTGATAATTAAATAAACAAATAATGGAAATTAAAAATAATTGTAATTTCCTAAAACTTTATGAAAAATAATTGAATTTTTCCAATAATTTTATTCAACTTCTTGAAAGTAATCGAAAAAAGTTTGACATATTTTTAAAAAATATTTTAATTCTTTATTTTCTAATGATAATAATTGAATATTGATAAAGAAATAATTGAATTTTTCCAAGATGCTATAGAAAATAATTGAATTTTTTAAAGAATTTTATTGAACTCCTTGAAAGTAATCAAAAAAATTTTGATACATTATTTTTGATAAAAAATATTCCATTTCTTTATTTTCTAATGATAATTGAAATTAAAAATAATTGAAATTGAAAATAATTGAAACTAAAAAATAATTAAAATCAGAAATAATTGAAATTGAGAATAATTATAATTGAAAATAATTAAAAATGAAAATAATTGAAAGTGAAAATAATTGAAATCTAAAATAATTGAAATTGAAAGTAATTAAAATTGAAAATAATTGATAATGAAAATAATTAAAAGTGAAAAATAATTGAAATTAGAAATAATTGAAATTGAGAGTAATTAAAATTGAAAATAATTGAGAGTGGAAATAATTGAAATTAAAAATAATTGAAATTGAGAGTAATTAAAAGTGAAAATAATTGATAATGAAAGTAATTAAAAGTGAAAAATAATTGAAATTAGAAATAATTGAAATTGAAAATAGTTGAAACTGAATATAATTGAAATTGAAAATAATTGAAATCGAAAATAATTGAAACTGAAAATAATTGAAATTGAAAGTAATTGAAATTAAAAATAATTAAAACTGAAAATAATTGAAATTGAAAAAATTAAAATTGAAAGTTATTGAAATGAAAAATAATTGAAATTGAAAATAATTAAAACTGAAAATAATTGAAATCGAAAATAATTGAAACTGAAAATAATTGAAATTGAAAGTAATTGAAATTAAAAACAATTAAAACTGAAAATAATTGAAATTGGAAAGAATTAAAATTGAAAGTAATTGAAATGGAAAATAATTGAAATTGGAAATAATTGAAATTTCCTTAAATTCTATACAGAAAAGAATTATATTCCTAAAAGAAATTTACACACTAAATCGTTGAACAAAATTTATTTTTATCACCAATGTTTCTGCGAGGCAATCCAATCAAAAGGATGAATTGCCTTTGTCACATGTTTCCTACATAATTTCACCACACTCTCACTATTCAAATCAATTGTCACATTTGCCATTAATTTCTCCCTAAAAATCATCATTCTCTCCTGAAATTTTCGATCCAATTGAATTCTCACTTTCTTCAATCCACCATCATTTCTCCTCAAACCCAATGAACGTAAATTCGGTAGAAAATTTCCCATCAAATTCACTTGCTCCAAATTTCTCAAGTTCACCATCCATCCATATTGAATATTCGTCAATTTATTTTGCTCCAAACTGACAATTTTCAAATTCACCAAATTCTCAAATAATCCCCCAACAATATTTCTAATTCGATTATTATCCAAATACAATTCCTCCAAAGTTCCCATTGATGCAAAATCTTCTTTTGCCAAAATTCGAATTTCGTTACATTTCAGAGAGAGTATTTTTATTTTTGGAATTTCCTCAATTCTCGGTATTGAATGCAATAAATTATTGTCGAGTAGCAATTCTCTAAGTGATGGCATTCTGTGAATATGATTCAGAGAACGAATTTTATTGTCTGAGAGATTTAAGATTTCCAAATTTGGCGATTTACTGAAATCACTGATCCAACTGATTTCGTTTTTTTTCGCTGTAAAGTAAAGCAAATTTTCCATTCCCCATAAAGTTATGTCAGTAATTCGATTGTTGTCAACGCTGATGAAATTCAGTTTGGGAAAATTTCCCAGACCAAAATAATCGAGATCATTATTTTCAAGATGCAGTTCCTGTAACGATTTTGGTAACCAATGAAAATTACGATCAAAATAAGGCGATTCGTTGGTTATTTCGTTATTGTTAATAAACAAATGGGTTAAATTGGGAAACACTGAATTACCCCCACGAAGGGAAATTATTGCAATACTATTATTGCGGAGAAATAATTTTTCTAATTTGGGAAAATTGCCTTTTAGTTCGAGAATTTTTAGGTAATTTTTAAAACCTGTTTGATTTTGATAACCACCGCGAATTGCTTTATCGAGAACTAGTAATTTGAGATTATTGTGTTTGCCAAGTGAGAGAAATTGCTCCTTCTTGAGACGATTATTGGCGAGATTTAAATTCTCCAAATTTGGTATTTTGTCGAATGCTTCCGGTGAGATGCGAACAATTCCACGATTCTCGAGATTTAAACACGTTATTTTTGAATCATTCAGGAAATTCTCCTCAATTGATGGATCGGAATTTTCAAAAATCATATTCGTTCCGTCACAGTCGGAAAATTTTTTTATTAAATCGTCAGTTGATTTTTGTCCCCTTCGAAGTGGGAAATTATTGATTAGAATAAAAATTATGGTTATTAATACTGATGGTGACTGCATTTTTACTCTGTAAATAAAATTAGAATTTTTAATAATATTTTCTTATAGTGTTTTAATAATAATAATTTTAATAATTTTGATAATTTTAATAATAATTTTGATAATAATTTTACTAACAATTTTAATTTCCAAAATAATTTACACAATTAATTGAATTTTAAAAGAGTTGCGTTTACGACTTCCATAAATAGATAAAAATGTTTCAATTTGAAATTTTATAAAATTCATCCAACTAAGTATAAATTCAATTATTTTCGCAATTAAATGTCACGAAAGAATTTAATTATTCCAAAAATTCTTTAAAATTTCAATTATTTGAAAATTCTTTTAAAAAATTCAATTATTATATTTAAAAAATGTTTATATAAATCTTTGCAGAATTTCAATTATTTTCAATTTTAAACATGAATTCAATTATTTTCAATAAAACAATTCTCAAAAGAATTCAATCATATAAATTGTTTTTTTATAAATTCCTTGTCAAAATTTCAATTATTTTAAAATTCTTTGCAAAAATTCAATTATTTTCCATAAAACTTTAAATAAAATATTAGAATCCAATTATTCTTAAATTTTTTTATTTTCGAGTTAAAATTTCAATTATTTTCCATTTTAAACATGAATTCAATTACTTTCAATAAAATAATTCTCAAAAGAATTCAAATATATAAATTTTTTTTATAAATTTCTTGTCAAAATTTCAATTATTTCAAAATTCTTTTCAAAAATTCAATTCTTTTCAATAAAATTTTAATAAAATATTGGAATCCAATTATTCTTAAAAATGTTGATAAATATCTTTGTAGAATTTAAATTATTTTGAATTTTAAGCATGAATTCAATTATTTTGAATTTTAAGCATAAGTTCAATTATTTCCAATAAAATTTCTCAAAAAAATTCAATTATTTTCAAATTTTTTTGTCCAAATTTCAATTATTTGAAAATTTTTTACAAGAATTCAATTATTTTCAATGCAATTTCAATAAAAAAATCAGAATTCAATTATTCTTAAAAATTTTGATAAATATCTTTGCAGAATTTCAATTATTTTGATTTTTTCATAGAAATTCAATTATTTTCAATAAAATTTCTTGAAAGAATTCAATTATTCTTAAAATTTTTTATAAATTTCTTGTCAAAATTTCAATTATTTTAAAATTCTTTGCAAAAATTCACATATTTTTCAATCAATTTTTCATTAAATTTAATAAAATTTTTTAAAGTGTTGATAAATATCTTTTGCAGATTTTCAATTAATATGGATTTTTCGAATGAATTCAATAAAATATTTCTCGAAAGAAATCAATTATTCTTAAAATTTTTTGTCACAATTTCAATTATTTGAAAATTCTTTGCAAAAGTTCTCAAAAATTTTGATAAATATCTTTGCACAATTTCAATTGTCTTAATTTTTTCGTAAAAATTCAATTATTTTAAAAAATTTTCCTCAATTTAATGATTTTTTTATCTACTATTTTAATAAAATTTTCTAAAAGAATTCAATTGTTTGACAAAAATTTTAATGAAGGGAAAAAGTCAAAATTTATGATTGGAAATCAGGGAAAAGTCAAGGAAAAACAAAATTAAATTTTTCTTACAACCTTGTAGAATTACAAAAAAAGAACAAAGGAAGAAAAATTAATAAAATTTTTTACTTGAAAAATTTTATGTTAGAAAATTAAATAAGTAGAGTAATTATTTATTTATTTAAACTAAAATTAAATCTTAGGTACTTTTTTCCATCAACTTACGTTTTTCTTCAAAACAATTTATCAAAATAGTGTCGAAAAAAATAGACACGAATTCAAAAATGAATTTTTCGATTTATTTCTTATTAAATAATCCCAATTTGTCAATTTAGTAATCCAATTTCTTTAGTTTTTAATTTTTTTCATAATTTGTTCAATTTTCGGATTTTCGTATTTAATTTATTTTCGTTGAACACTTCAGTTTTTTTTGGAACGAAGAATGTTTTTTGCAATTTTGAGAAAAAGCACCAAATCTTGAAAAGAAATTTCGAAAAAACAAAAATTTGTTTGTTTATATCAAAATAATTATAATTGATAAACAAAAAATGAAGTGAATTTATTTAATGGAAAATAAAGACTGAAAAGAAATTTTCTGAGAATATGATTTTATAGTATTTGACACAAGATAACCCATGTGTGGATTATTATTGTAACAAAGAGTTTCTTCTTCATGTTCAAGTTCTCAATTTCTCATTTCTGATAATAAAAGTTCATTAATCGAATTTCAAAACACGGAGATTTCAATTTCTTTATATAATATTGAATAGACAATTAAAAATATATTAAAATTTTATAAACAATTTATTTTTAGTTCATAATCGAGAAATTAATTTTAATTCGCTTTTTCAAGTTAATTCGTGTAATTAAATTATTATTAATTAATTAATTTGGCGAATAATTTCGAAAAGCCCCTGAAAATATACTGGCTGGAAACTCACGTGTACGTCGGGTTTGCGTTGTGTAGGCGAAATCTATTATTATAACAATAGAAAGTTAAATTCTTTAAAAATACAAAAATACAAAAACAAATACAAAACTTTAAAAATACAAGTAATTTTAAAAATAATTCTCTTATAAATAATTCCTACGATTAATTACATTTAATAAACTCTATTTTTTTCAAATTTGATTTTATTTAATAACTATTTTTAAAAAATAAAATGTTAACATTATAAAATAAAAAAATATCGAAAACAATATAATAAAACTTAGGAATTACTATGAACAGTAAAATTAAATAGATAATTAATAGAAATAAAATAAAAATAGCGGTGAAAATAGAAACTATATAATAATAACATTGTTAACTTGTTAATTTCTTCGTTTAATTTAAAATTAATAATAATAATAATAAATTCAAAGCGAAAAAAAACCAAAAACTGAAAATTACAAGCAAGAAAATTGCTACGGAAGAAAATAAAAATTCTTCTTCAACTTTCCTCATTCCCGTAAAAAAATCTCAATTTTTCCCAGGATAATCTCGTTTTGAAACACGTCGCTGGCCTTGAAAACCTTGAAGTTTTTCTTGCACGAAGAATCTTTCCTCATACGAACTTCAGGACTCGAAGAGAAATCAATCACCCAACAAAGATCATAATTTACAACATTTAGTAATAAATAAACTATTTAATTAATTCAAACTCTGTTTAAATAAACAAAAAAACAGTTTAAAGTGTAATTCATCAAATCGAAATAAAACTCTGTACGATCCACGTAAGTAAAAATTATAAATCTGTGCAAAATTGAAATTATTACGAAAGTAATTAATTATTTATTATTATTATATGGATTATTATAACTTATTTAATATTCAACAATTTATAACTTCAAAATTTTTAATTGTCACTAATATAATATAATAATTCCGTAATATTATTAGCAGATGTCAAAATAATATATTATTTATAAAGGAAAATTTCTTCATTAATATCATTTGAATAAAATTAGATCAAAACGGAAGTTGCTAAGCAACATCCTAAACAATAGAAATTTTTAACTAAACTTTTAAGTAGTAGCACTTCCACCCGAACGCTATCAGACAATTGAAAATAGTGAAAAATGACGCTAAAATTTATTTTCTTCACAATAAAATTTTTCTGTAAGTCGGAAATTATCTGAGATGTTGGCAGGAAGTTGCTGAGCAATATCCTGAAGAATAGAGATTTTTATCGGAACTTTTAAGTAGTAGCACCTCCACCCGAACGCTATCAGACAATTGAAAATAGTGAAAAATGACGCTAAAATTTATTTTCTTCACAATAAAATTTTTCTGTAAGTCGGAAATTATCTGAGATGTTGGCAGGAAGTTGCTGAGCAATATCCTGAAGAACAGAGATTTTTATAAGAACTTTTAAGTAGTAGCACCTCCACCCGAACGCTATCAGACAATTGAAAATAGTGAAAAATGACGCTAAAATTTATTTTCTTCACAATAAAATTTTTCTGTAAGTCGGAAATTATCTGAGATGTTGGCAGGAAGTTGCTGAGCAATATCCTGAAGAACAGAGATTTTTATAAGAACTTTTAAGTAGTAGCACCTCCACCCGAACGCTATCAGACAATTGAAAATAGTGAAAAATGACGCTAAAATTTATTTTCTTCACAATAAAATTTTTCTGTAAGTCGGAAATTATCTGAGATGTTGGCAGGAAGTTGCTGAGCAATATCCTGAAGAATAGAGATTTTTATCGGAACTTTTAAGTAGTAGCACCTCCACCCGAACGCTATCAGACAATTGAAAATAGTGAAAAATGACGCTAAAATTTATTTTCTTCACAATAAAATTTTTCTGTAAGTCGGAAATTATCTGAGATGTTGGCAGGAAGTTGCTGAGCAATATCCTGAAGAACAGAGATTTTTATAAGAACTTTTAAGTAGTAGCACCTCCACCCGAACGCTATCAGACAATTGAAAATAGTGAAAAATGACGCTAAAATTTATTTTCTTCACAATAAAATTTTTCTGTAAGTCGGAAATTATCTGAGATGTTGGCAGGAAGTTGCTGAGCAATATCCTGAAGAATAGAGATTTTTATCGGAACTTTTAAGTAGTAGCACCTCCACCCGAACGCTATCAGACAATTGAAAATAGTGAAAAATGACGCTAAAATTTATTTTCTTCACAATAAAATTTTTCTGTAAGTCGGAAATTATCTGAGATGTTGGCAGGAAGTTGCTGAGCAATATCCTGAAGAACAGAGATTTTTATAAGAACTTTTAAGTAGTAGCACCTCCACCCGAACGCTATCAGACAATTGAAAATAGTGAAAAATGACGCTAAAATTTATTTTCTTCACAATAAAATTTTTCTGTAAGTCGGAAATTATCTGAGATGTTGGCAGGAAGTTGCTGAGCAATATCCTGAAGAATAGAGATTTTTATCGGAACTTTTAAGTAGTAGCACCTCCACCCGAACGCTATCAGACAATTGAAAATAGTGAAAAATGACGCTAAAATTTATTTTCTTCACAATAAAATTTTTCTGTAAGTCGGAAATTATCTAAGATGTTGGCAGGAAGTTGCTGAGCAATACCCTGAAGAACAGAGATTTTTATAAGAACTTTTAAGTAGTAGCACCTCCACCCGAACGCTATCAGACAATTGAAAATAGTGAAAAATGACGCTAAAATTTATTTTCTGTCACAATAAAATTTTTCTGTGAGTCGGAAATTATCTCTGATGTTGGAAGGAAGTTGCTGAGCAACATCCTGAAGAATAGATATTTTTATCGGAACTTTTAAGTAGTAGCACCTCCACCCGAACGCTATCAGACAATTAAAAATTGTGAAAAATGACGCTAAAATTTTTTTTCTGTCACAACAAAATTTTTCTGTGAGTCGGAAATTATTTCATATGTTGGCAGGAAGTTGCTGAGCAATATCCTGAAAAATATAGATTTTTATCGGAACTTTTAAGTAGAAGCACCTCCACCCAAACGCTATCAGACAATTGAAAATAGTGAAAAATGACGCTAAAATTTATTTTCTTCACAATAAAATTTTTCTGTGAGTCGGAAATTATTCCATATGTTGGCAGGAAGTTGCTGAGCAATATCCTGAAGAATAGAGATTTTTATCGGAACTTTAAGGTAGTAGCACCTCCACCCGAACGCTATCAGACAATTGAAAATATTGAAAAATGACGCAAAAATTATTTTCTGTCACAATAAAATTTTTCTGTGAGTCGGAAATTATTTCAGATGTTGGCAGAAAGTTGCTGAGCATCATCCTGAAGAATAGAGATTTTTATCGGAACTTTTAAGTAGTAGCACCTCCACCCGAACGCTATCAGACAATTGAAAATAGTGAAAAATGACGATAAAATTTAATTTCTGTCACTCTAATATTTTTCTGTGAGTCGGAAATTATCTGAGATGTAAGCAGGAAGTTGCTCAGCAATATCTGAAGAATAGAGATTTTTAACTGAACTTTTAAGTAGTAGCACTTCCACCCGAACGCTATCAGACAATTAAAAATAGTGAAAAATGACGCTAAAATTTAATTTCTGTCACTCTAATATTTTTCTGTGAGTCGGAAATTATCTGAGATGTAGGTAGGAAGTTGCTGAGCAACATCCTGAAGAATAGAGATTTCTATCGGAACTTTTAAGTAGTAGCACCTCCACCCAAACGCTATCAGACAATTGAAAATAGTGAAAAATGACGCTAAAATTTATTTTCTTCACAATAAAATTTTTCTGTGAGTCGGAAATTATTTTAGATGTTGGCAGAAAGTTGCTGAGCATCATCCTGAAGAATAGAGATTTTTATCGGAACTTTAAGGTAGTAGCACCTCCACCCGAACGCTATCAGACAATTGAAAATATTGAAAAATGACGCAAAAATTATTTTCTGTCACAATAAAATTTTTCTGTGAGTCGGAAATTATTTGAGATGTAGGTAGGAAGTTGCTGAGCAACATCCTGAAGAATAGAGATTTTTATCGGAACTTTTAAGTAGTAGCACCTCCACCCGAACGCTATCAGACAATTGAAAATATTGAAAAATGACGCAAAAATTATTTTCTGTCACAATAAAATTTTTCTGTGAGTCGGAAATTATTTCAGATGTTGGCAGAAAGTTGCTGAGCATCATCCTGAAGAATAGAGATTTTTATCGGAACTTTTAAGTAGTAGCACCTCCACCCGAACGCTATCAGACAATTGAAAATATTAAAAAATGACGCAAAAATTATTTTCTGTCACAATAAAATTTTTCTGTGAGTCGGAAATTATCTGAGATGTAGGTAGCAAGTTGCTGAGCAACATCCTGAAGAATAGAGATTTTTATCGGAACTTTTAAGTAGTAGCACCTCCACCCGAACGCTATCAGACAATTAAAAATAGTGAAAAATGACGCTAAAATTTATTTTCTTCAC